TATTTACACAGTAAAGTATAAAATGAACTCTGTAATCTGAATGAGATCACATTCATTCATTACTCCTATTCGCTTTTTGTTTGCAGGACTTTTGTTGCAGTGGCTTGTTGAGAGCGGTTGTGTCAGATCTCTACCGCTGTCTCTTCCGAGCAGAGAAGAGCTGATCAAGGATTTTTTTTATTGATCATATCGGCAGGAAGCCGTGCCCACTGTGGTGAAACTCTGTGGTCAGGGCTTCCTGCGCTCTCACAGAGCTCAGAGTGGATGAAAGCTCAACATAGCCGATACCGATCAATTAAAAAAATCCTTGATCAGCTCTGATACTGACAGATGAGATCAGATTGGGACATCCCTATAAAATACTGTAACACACTCCAGTAAGCTAAATACACATTTCTGCCCCAGCAGATTCTAACTGGCAGCTTTAATGTGTGACTGTATGGAAATGCATAAAGAAGAGAGCACCATCAAATGTAATAATACGGTGTTTATGCTAAGCTAGGTAAAACGCACCCTGACTTATCTCCAGATACATCCAGATGAAACTGATATTCATATTTTCATCGAAGAGTCTGGAGATGGAGACGGTTTATTTAAATTATACAAAAATATAACGCCAGTTATAGTGTTTAGATATTTTAATAATTTTAGGTGTTTTTTGCTGAAAAAAGTGTTGGAATTGAAAAGGTTAACCAATCATACCCAGGCTGAATCTGTTTGAGAATAAATGATAATGTACTTCATCAACTCCTGCTAATTTAAAGTGCTACGCTACAATACTTTAGCTCAACAGCAGAACTATTGAACATAATTTGATGAACAGAGTAAAACTGTGTAATGCAGATATCTCACCTTCTTTCACTGGTGACATTTGTTTAGCAAAGCTATGAAACTCCTGCCCTCCTCTTGATATCAGCCGCTGAGCATTATTAGATGGGGGGATTTTGACCCAGTTTATAGCGTCATGTAGTTCTTGATAGAAGTCCTCTGGAATATCATGTTCAAATGTGAAAGCTCTGATGTACTGCAGGTGTTTACCTTGAAATAGTACAACACGATTTAGATACTATTCAGTTGAAGCACTGAGGCTGTAAATCTGAAGCTTTACCTGAGAACATTACCTATATGCTGAAACTGCTCATAGGGGAATGTGACACAGATGAACATCTGAGCGTTTCTTTCTCCACTTTTAGGCCAGAAACGATTTTTATCTCTTCTGTAAGGGAACTGCGGAGTGCTGTGTGCGAGCCAGACTCCAGTGCTGCTCCGGTTCACCATCAGAACCCCTGAGGAGAACCAACAGTCCCAGTGGATGGATGTTTCAGAGTGGAAAGCAGGAAAAGACTGAACACCTCATCCTCTCATCCTCTCATCATCTCATTCTGCCATCCACTCATCCTCTCATCCACTCATCCTCTCATTATACCATCCACTCATCATCTCATTCTACCATCCACTCATCCTCTCATCCTCGGATCCACTCATCCTCTCATTCTACCATCCACTCATTTTCTCATCCTCTCATCCTCTCAGAGTCACAGTTCATTAAGAAGCTAATGAGTTATGATGAGTTATGATGAGTTATAATGAGTTATGGTGAGTTATAATGAGTTATGATGAGTTATGATGTTAGCTGTGTGTATAACTGCTGGCTACAGAAGTCAGACAGACGGACGTTACATACATTGTCTGTGATGCTTTCTCTGCTTACCTGCCTGACTTCCTGGAGGTTGATCACTGTAGCTGATGAACCCGAAGTTTGGTGGCTATACATGCAGAATAAAGAGAGAAAAGTGTCTGCACACATTCAGCAGGTCTGAGTGACACCTTTCTGTTTTAGAGATGGGGATGTACACAGCTCATCCATAAGAGGGTAACATCACAGCGCCAATGATGCAACGCGCTTTCTCTATAAAGAAACACGTTACTGGTTCTAAAGGTTTCCTGATGTGGACTCCTGACTGAGCACATTGCTTCACAGATTACTTTTCCTTTTTTCTTTTTTAATACTTTTTATTAAGTTTAAATGAAGAACTTACCAACGTTACTGCGGGCAGTAGTCACCTACCTTCACCCTCTGAAACCTAGTCCACCATTGTTGTTTAGTTGCTAACGTGAAAGGAAACACATGGAAGGTCCGAGAGAGGTCTTAATCCTATCTGAGGCATGGACTTATTTTTGATGGAAATGTGCTTATCAACAGGGGCCAATACAAAAATACAAAGCTAAGACATGACGGGAGCTACACAGACCAGCACAGTCACTTTATGTTAAACGTTAGGAAATGTCCTCACAGCGATGGAAAAACTGGAGTGTATTTGTGCTTTATGAACAAGAGCTGCTGATGGATCAATACCAGCTGTCCATGAGCTAACTAGCTGTTAATGTTGTCAGTTTGTTCAGCTCGGTGTTAGCATGTTGCTCAGGGGTAATGTGGGTAGCAGGCTGGGGCCCATGTAAGACTAATGTAATACTGAGGAACAATAAAGTGAAGCCTTGTTTGAAGCCAACTAAATAGTGTTAGCTCAGCTAGCATTGGCTCAGCTAGTTCTAGCTTTGCCGTTAGCTGCTGCTGCTATATGCAAATAGACCTGCCTTGAAGGTAATGATATTGCTACATGTGAACGGTCAAACTGCAGGATTCATTAGCATTGTGTAACTTTGATTAGGACCCAGTTAGAGTCACAGAAACAAATGGATGAAGGTTGAAAATGATCATCACCATCATTCTGGTCTTTGTGAAAAGGGGCTGCAGGGTGTTTGCCAGGACACCTTCAGGGTTGTTGATTAACTTAGGGTCAGTCCCGGAGGCCACATAGCTGAATCAGCTGAATCAGCGTAAATATATTCCAAACCAGAGAACTGGTTTTTCAGTTTGGGTGCCTTGTATATGATGTACCTGATAATGACACAAAGATAAATCTGTGACTGGAGGAGTAAACTGAAATCCAACCAAACCTAAAAATCTATACTGGTCCTATAAACCACTGCAGGTGTCTCAGAGTGTGAAGGCATTATGGGAAATGCTGTTTGCACTCAGTGTATGTACAGTACAGAGTAATCTGTACGTAGTCTGTCCACTCTTATACTTTATCACATTGATCGAAAGAATATCAATAAAATTCAGCAGCTTTTTGCTTTGATAGTTGATCATAGATAGAGAAGACTGAATGCTGATGAGACCAGAGTGTTAATGTGCTTCACCAGTCCACTTCTCCATTGTTGTTGTTTCTGCAGGTCACTGTGCCTTCAGAGCTCCAGTAGAGCAGACTGACAGTCAGAATAATCCTCCACATAACTCCCTGAAACACAGTTACAGCAGCAGTTGCACTCTGCAGCTTAACTTCAGTTTGAAGTAATGAGAAATTTGGCTTGTAGGGGAAAAGATACATTAAACAGTCTTTATTAGATTTAAAGGCCTTCACTGTTAGTACCAGACCATCATATCCAGTAACAATGTCTCCTCAAAAACAGGAACCTTAACACCTGTAAACTCAGATATATATGAATAGACTGTTTATTAGTTATCTTCATCAATTAACTTCAATCATTTCTACATCTAAGCCATCAACCTGTTTGTTAGACCCCATCCCAACCTTAAAGAAGTCTTACCCTTAAT